TAATTTATATACTAGTTGCGAGTCCCGTTGTTGCACAATTTTTCCTTCCTTCTTCACGGTTATGGCCTTCTTCCTTGTCTCTTCGTCTTCCGCAGCACTCAAGTGCCCGGCACGAGTAGTTTGAGAAATTACATCAATTTATGCGCCATGGAAAGCACCAGGGTTTCCTCTCCTTCCTCTCATTCCCTCGATCTTTTTTCAACAGGACAAAACGAGGAACGGCAACCTTCCGGCATGAAGCCAGCGGTCGTTACGATCTTCACCAATTTTCTGAAAGCCTCTCTACCTAGACGCCTTCCACTCGTTTCTTCAATTTTTGCATCCTATACGTATTCTTTGTTTGTATTCCACTATTAATCCGTCCTCTTCATCATGTCAAATGTCCCTGGTAATTTTTCACAAGCAGTAAATGTTCTGCAGTCATTCGATTACTCAGAGGAAATTAAATATCGTCATTATTACCTGCGGCCATTGTGCTCTGTCAGTTTTCTGCACTTTCTGTCTGATATTTCCTCCTGACATCCGCATTTTCTTATGAAATATAAATGACAATGCCATCGGCCAGAAGGATTCGATGGTAAAGACAAACGTAGACCATCGTAGAGGTGGCCTAACACCAAACTGACTCGACGGTTATTAATTGTTCCACCTAGAGAGAAGATGAGAAGAAACGGTGGTCAGGAATAGATACTTTGATAAATTAACCAACAAACCATTACACCCGCAAGCTTCACATCAATTGCAATGCTAACATGTATCCATTTTTTTAAATTTACCGTTTTTATTTCCCCTCTTTCAGTTATTTTCCCGAATAAAGTGAATTTCTCTTCACGAAACCTGGAACGTGTGTGTATATACATAGAGAATGCAACCTCGGATCAATCATTCGGTGAAGGGTGTAGGAGAGTGTGGAGCAACCGCGAGAGTGTGTTTTACAGTAATTACAGTATATCTTTTCGACATTGCTTTAGCCGCAAGTAACTAGATCGATCGTTGTGGCTCATTCTTCTTCTTTCTCACCGTGCATCAGAGCCCGAGAGATTAATTAGCATTATCCGAGTGAATCTTCCGGTGGGCCGAGTAAAACGTATAATCTCCCTTCAGCCTGTTACGTATATCACACAATTTGTCTCGAGCTTTGCAAAATATTAGGTGTTTTGTGACACCTTTGTTCCTGAAAATCGCATTATTCACCCTATTCACTCTCTTTAATCTCAGTTTAAGTGAAATTAGAGACCGAAAGTCCAGACAACCGAGAGCATTGCCACAGACATTGCTATTTGCTGACATTTAACGAAACACCCAGCTTGAATTGCCAACAACGAGTTGAGGGCAAACCTCGCAGGCTCAACTGAATGCGGTGATGCTGGAGAAATGTGCGGAGCTGAAGGGAGAGGAGCATTGTTGATCCAACATTTGTAAACTAGCTTTTGATAGGCCCAGTATGCTGTGCTACAAAGACGAAAACTTTTTCTTTACTCTACTCTTTCTTTCCACTCCACTCCACCAAAATTTCACGCTCATATTCCAATTTACTATTGAGCTCTGAGATTTCCGATAACTTGAAAATAACGAACCTTCCGTGTATATTTTCTCTCGTCTGGTGTATTGATTATAACGTGCAAGTGGCTGCAACATTTATTCGTTCAAGTTATTTCGAATGTGCAAATCTCCGGTGGAAGCAAAGTGAAATTTCCGTAAAAATCGATTGATATGTAAATTGAATTCACCTAAAAATCTATTTTCTTTCCCGCTCCGACAAATTTATTTCCATTCTTACTTCAATTATACAAATATATCGGTTTGTGAAATTTTGTTCCTGAACAATTATTTGTAAAAATGGATTCACCTCCTCTAATTACTTGCTTCCTTTACTCCTCGATCAGATGAAAGCCATTAGAAGTGATGGAGATTATGATGAATTGAAGCACTACTGACCAAAAAAAATAAGAATAAAGCAAACATGGCAACAAACGATTATTGTCTTTATTGAATCAACACTCACCATGAATGTACACATTTCCCAAGGAGTCATAGTACTCAGTTTCTAAGTTTCACTATAGTTCCGATAGTCAGTTCGTCACAATTAATATGATTGTGTGCAGGTTTACGTATAATTGCGCCGACAAACTCCTCCACAACTTCTTCCCTAGTAGGTACTGTATTATTTACGGATGAACTATCACTTCAAAGATCCCTTAATGACGGTATTGCGCTTCCAAGGAGATAATCGATTATTTACATGCACAAGAGCCGGTGATCACAAATGGACCCGATTAAGAAGCAAAGATCGAAAGAAAAAGGAAAATTCGTTTCATTATTGAACTGTTCTTCCACATTCTTTTTATCTTTTTTCCACAAATTTCAGTGTTTTGTATTTTCCTCGGCCTGCACACCGGTCTTCTCCCGAAACGTGATTTATTAGTGACCGGTGTGACACCGTGAATAAATAGATAGGTGATCGAAAACAAAATCCTGCGGAAATTGGTATAAATGGTGAGCAGTTACCGGTGGAATGTTATAGATAGCACTGAGGTCTCGACATGAAAATACGAGAGAGAAGAAACTGATAAAAACCGATAAAGAAACGAAATAAAAAAAAAATCCAATGTAAACCTATAGGTATACTTGTGTTGTCAAACGTTAGTTGCAGGACTGAATGGATAAAAAAAAAATTTGTACATTAAAATGCGTCTCGATCGACGAGTTCGAAATGATTGGATCGGTGCAATACGTTTATCGATCGAATTGTAATGACACTTTTCAGTTAGTCGTCGGTCATTAAGAGACTCGTTCCCTTCTCCCTGATCTCTTATTTGGTTCATCGATGGGGAATGGTTTAAAAATTCGTTTTTATTTTCAGACAATGGCGTGAATGCGAATTCCTGTGCGTGTTCCGTAATTAAAGAGGGAGTCGATGGGTCGTATATATATTCAGAGCTATTGAACGGGAGTGAGTGAGACAGCGCATGTTTTCAGAGTAAAATGGCTATATGCCTCTTGGGTAGCACCGAAGGCTAGCATTTAAATTTTTTAGGTATCAGTAGTATGTAAAAGTATGTAAAAATAAATATAAGGGCCTCATTCGAATCTGCTGAAATAAATTCCCAACGTAGGTCAAGGTAATTTTCAGTTCCCTGATGGTGTGAAAAATTCATTGAAACTAATCTAGACATTTCAAGAAGGTCTTCGATACCCATACACCAGAATAAATATGAATCTTACATTGTATCACCTTTTTAGGGTTGTTTATTAAATATATACCTCGAACAACTTTACAAATGACTCCATCTATCTAACGTAATCAACTCCTAAATCTTAATGATTACAATAAAATAGGGAAGGGATATCGCATTCATCCATCTAATTATGTAAATTATCCACTCCACATTTCTCATGTATTTTCTATTCTCGAAAAAATATGAAAAAAATTCATGCTCCGTAATTATACCACGATCACGATATTGGCTTCGGCGCAACCCACACCACCATCACTTTCAAAATAAATAACGAAAACAAAGTTTTTTCATGCCGAGCGAGCTCAATTTATCAGATTGATCGTGGTACTAAGAACGAAAAATAAAACGATTGGAATAGAGGAAAGTAATGAGAAGTGAACAGCACACAAGGTGAGGGTTTGCCTTCGAAATGTCGTTTGGGCTGAGCTAATCGACGGTGCTAATGTATGCCCCTCGTTTTACCGAGGCGGGACAATTTTTCTTCTCACTTTTGTGCCACAGAGCTTAGTCTCACGTTCATTTACAGAATAGTACCGCTGTTCTTGTATTTATTCTTCGTGGCCATGCGTTCCAGAAGGTCATTTAAACGATGGAGAAGGGAATACGAAAAAAAAGGTAGAGAAAGAAGAAAGTGCGGCCACAGTGGGGGGGACAATAGCCAGTAGACAGGTAAGTAAGGTGGGTTAGTTCGCATATTGCATAATACACGTACAGTGAGATTGCATCTAGAGGTGTGTATACTGAAAACAAGCGAAAATGGCGGTGTTGTACTATTGGAATGGCTGGTTGTTCCGGTATACCATGGAGCTAGAGTTTGAGGGGGTCAAAAACCGCACTATTACACAACACAGTTTGTCCCAACTATAGTAACAATTATATGCCTGGTGATTCTACTCCTATCGTCGTTTGTATAAACGAACCTGAAAAGCTTGGTATTTTCCAGCGACGAGGTCCGTATCATACGGGATATTAAAGTCCCCAGAGAGAGAGAGAGAAAAGTTGGTGGTTCTGCGAGTTGTGAGTCCAGTTTCAACTCTTTTTCAGTTTTCTCCGTCAATTATCCAACGAAAAATCTCAGCCAAGTTCTTTCACCACTACTACACCACTACTATGGACGTCGTGAGCGATAAAGGGGGAATATAGTAGAGGAGATGAAGGAGCTCAAACAAATTAAATGAAAAAGATCGTTTTTTCCTGTCTGAATTTTTTCTCAGGAGAGTGAAGTGACTTATGCAGTCAACTACCATCTCTTTTTCATCTCTCTTATATCAAAATTAAAGACTCTTAAACTTACAAGTGAAATCTTCATTGATTTACACTCTACGATAATTAATGTAATTGTGAACAGCTGTGGGAGAAATTCATTATTGCATCAGGGATTAGAATGGAAAGCTTAAAGTGTATTATTAGGCTTTTAAGCGCATTCGAAAAAAAAATTACAGTGTTTATGTCGAGGTGCGACATTTGCAAGGATTTAACCAGTATTATGTCAACGTCCTCTTTTTGCCTTATATAAGCGGTATTAATTTGCCCATTTCCCTTCTTGTCTGCAGAGCTTCCTCTTCAGTTATCCCCTTTCAATCTTTCTTAATTTCCCTTCTTTTGCATTCCCTTTTGCTGTCTTTTCCTTGTCATTGTGATAAATGCATCCGAACTCTGCATGAAATATATTTTCTAAATTAATAAATCTATCATTGAATGAATACACAATTCATATGAGAGTTGTTAATTGGATTGCATATTGAAATTACTCTTCAATAGGTCTACCATCTAATCAAATAAAATACGATCCTCCATTCACGTTGGGAGAAATTATGATTTTTCAACAGAGAAGCAAGCAGAGTATTGTAAGTCGTTGAATAGAATTCATCTCTATATTAATATACTGTCAATATACTTGCGCAGAGCATGAGTAAATGAAAAATGATATGTACAGTGATTGTGACATTTCAAAGTAGCTGCTGTGAAGTTAGTGTCTCGGAGTTGGTCATTGCAATCAGATGATCGAAATTGAATTAGGCCTGAGAAGTCCTCCTTCCGGATCACTTAGCCGTGCGGGAACTGAGAATCCGTTCAAACTCACTACTAAAAGCGAATAACTATCCCCAGGGTAAGTTTGATCTCTCGCTTCCATGTACATGCTTTCTCTAAGACACGCCCGTATTACTCCTGTTACCAACTACCAATGAAGATACCTACGAGCTCTTTGGATTTTGCTTCTAGGCGTTAGTCATACTGCGGCTCTTCAGAAACCTGTAACAAGGTGAATAAACTTTGACCGCATGCTGCAACTACATAATCGGCCAAACTGTATGATGGCAGCTCCTAAGTTGTTCTCTTTCAAGGGTGTACTGAACCATCCTCGATGCTTCTTAATTTATCGAGTAATTGTCATTTTCTGGAATGGTCGATTTTCGCTGCCACTGCCCGAGCAGAATTTTTTTGGCCTGAGATTTTGGTAAAGAAAGTCCTATACTGATCGAATAAATTGTATATTCTTGTAGATATGTTTTTATTTCTTACCACCATTACGATTTTATATCGTTTCGTAGTCTTAAGCCTATCCTATTATCCTGTCCGATTTTTGCAGCACCATGGTCCCAGTTTTTCAATTGCACCCATTTGGCTTATACCGAGGGAAACCATAGGCGAAAAAATTAGTTATTCTTCTGAACTCCATTTTGAAGTCTGGAATTGATTCAGTGGATTCAAGTATTTATTAGTTATTAATAAAATGTGTAAACCAGACCAGTACGAACTTTTCTAGTGGAATGAATATTTATTACGATACGGTGGTCCCGGGTCAAATCAGCCAAGTACTAAAATTTTCACTTAGACCGAGAGTATTCTTTAAATTTTCAATTCATTTGATTTAATGTACTTTATTCACCTCATATCACGACACGTTAGGCGACGCATGTAATACTTCAAACCACGGTGCAAATGCCGCTGATATTAAAGTAGGGCGAGGTTCACGGTGAGTGTAGTCGAGGAGAATGAGAGAGAAACTATAATGGAACCCGTGCCCTCATAAATATTCACAGTGAAATCTACCCCTCGATAATAACGGCAACCAAAATATACGGGAGTCGCGTGGTATCAGACATTAGATTCGAGGGCTTTTCCCAAGTGGTACACATCCATGCGGAATATTTGGTGGGATCTCAGAGGGGTGAAACAAGAAGAAGCACTGCGTTTCATAACTCGATTCCTGCACTTTTCTTCTCTCACTTATATCGCGATCAACGACGACTTCACGTGAAACTCTTATAGGTGCAACGTTCACCCTGCACTCGTCGTTGGTAATTAAGTCGTAGATCATAAGCGCTATCTCGATCAAACTGGGTAGCGTAACTTCCGACCCCTCTTTTGCCCCCTACCCCTGCTTACTTCAACCACCCGCGAACCAATTACCGTCTCCATTAGCACAAAATATTGTAGACGTTGTGATAATTAACAGAAGTAAACTGAACATCGGGTACTTGCGACATTTGCATTGGAAACATTTTAGTTTGAGCGGTTTGTTTGAATTTTAAGGAAGGAAAGGGGGAAATAAACAGATAGATGCAGTGGTATAGACCAAGATATTTCCGGGAATGAGTACATGGGTTGATAGCAATCAGGAGTCCTGAGATAAATTTGTAAAAATCTTCCAGCGTTGTTTAGAGGACAGCAAATACCAGACGGCTATCCGCTCTGTCTATCGTTCTTTTTTTTTCGGTCGCATTCTTTGCTTTTTCTTCGTGTTCTCTTTTCTTCCCACTTACTGGACTTTCTCTCAATCATCCAGCCAGAGCGTCTCCACCAAGCCTTTATTCGAAATCTACCCAAGTTTTTTCTCTCACTCGCCAGTGCCATTGTGTTTCCATTGTCTGTTTTTCTATTTTTCTCATGGTGTTTTTTTTTTGCATTTTTTTTCCAATTTATTTTCGTTAATTTCCCACTCTTTGTTCTCCTTCTTGTCAGTGTTTGGTACCATCCGATTGAAGGAAGTGTGTATTTAGCCAGGAAATTGACGGTTCCATTGAAGTTAAGCAAGTGAGGCTGGAGGGTAAGGCAATGGGATTAGGAAAATGGAGAAATTGAAGCTAGAAGGATTCTCCCTATCTCCTCATCTGCTTTATTCCCATCTTCCTCTTCAGTCAATACTCATCCCTTTTCAGCTCAAGTATTCTACAAAATTTGCGATTTTAGCCAGTGAGTTTATGCACTCTCATCATGTTGAAGTGTGTGGTGTGTTCGAGTCCGTAGGCCTCACTCGAAACTCACCGGTCTTATTCATTCCACCATTTTTGCACTCAGAAATATTGTGACCAAATAAAAATAAATAATTTTAATAACTAGACTCATATCTTACCATACATTTTATTTATCCATTATATTTTTTTTGCATGTTCCACCACATGATGATTATAATTTTAAAATGAAAAGTAGTGACTTTCTTTTTTCAAGTTAGTGAATTGGATAGAGGTAACCAACAGCTCTCATCTTTGGCATGATTTTAAGTGCACTCGGTGTACAGACCAGAGATACAGTCCTCTTCTTACCCAACTGCCTGAAAAAAAATGTAAACAAAGCGGTTAAATTCGTAGACATGTGAAAATACAATGTAATTCCTAGTGTACTTGGTCAACACATTGTTTCAACTCTCCTAGGGCCATCTTGTCTTTCATTCGCGGAGAGAAGTTTCATTCTTTGCAACACTCCGACCCTTCCCTAAATTACATACTTTAGACGGTACATCACTTGGGACATCGTTACTCGTCGAGATGCGAAAGTGCAGGATTAAAGTGGAAAAAAAAACAATGGTTCAAAACCTGGCACCTTCGATTTTAATGAAACATTTATCGTCATGAGTGAAGGTACTCTGACACGCTCAAGTTTATCGGTTATATTTACCACCTCACGACTGCACAGTTCATGTGCGGCTGCAGTAACAATACAATTAATTGCTACATCTGATGTACAACATCGAAGATTCAGTTTATCCCCGTATATATGCCTCCCCTGTAGTTGCTACCGATAGTGGGAGAGAATCAACGGAGGATTGTCCAGTGAATTTTCCTTTATGCATCTCTTTATAAAGTCGCAACCCGTGACTCCCGTTGATTCTCTTTGGTTTTGTTTTTTTTTCCCCAATTTTTTTTCAATTTCACTCGCATATATGGCACTGTATAATATCGCTATGATGTTCACATTTAATGCTTCTGTCAACAGTTCGAGTGCACGTCTATCTCTATCTCTTTGCCCTCTCATGCCTTGACGTTCCCACGCTTGAGAGAACTCACCGCCTCCAGTTCCACCCACCGCGCTCAGTCCCGTAATTTTTGCTTTGCCACACAAGACCCTTTGGTAGGGGATGTGTAAAGCCTCAGGTGGTGGTCGGAACGATGGAGTGGTCGACGATGTGTATACCACAGAGAAAACCCCACATGAGAACAGGTCGTGTTCAACGAAAGACTCGGCTATGCGCGTAATCCCTGGGCTTTCAAACTTTCTATCTCACTTTTCCCTCCAGGGCCAACGGAGTGTCATACATTTTGTGATGGTAAAAATCTTTTGGCAACGGATTCTCCAGTGGTGAATGGCGCCATGACAATCCGAGATTGTACAGATATGACGAAACTAATGGCCTACCTCGCCCGAAAAATTGCGGAGCGTATTTCCACTTATAGAGACGTTACGACAAAATTTTACAAAATATGCCAATTTTTTAATTTAATTTTACTTCAATTCTTCTCTAATTCATGAAGGGTGGATTTTGCACCAGCCTTGGTAATGATAACAACGTGTAATGGAAATGTAGAAAAACCCTTGAGGAAGATGAGATATATAATAATATAAGCGGGGCCATCTATTCACTTGAAATTCCAATTCGGATCTCGGAGTAATCTCAATGCAGTAAGTAAACTCGTGTTTTGTCGGACAACTCTAGATTGTACTTGCCAAACAAGGAAAGACATATGAGCCGGACGATACTGGGCTTCTGGTTCTTGCTGGAACATAACCCGGCAAAGCGGATTCACTCAAGCCGCAAAACTACTGCAGACTGCTTCAGTAAATCATTCTCCCATATAGCTCCACCATATGGAATACTTGGGAATTATGAAATCCCCAGTTTTCGTTACCATTTCGTATATACAGTGGACATATGCAATCTTGCGTCTCGCGGTTCTTCCCCAAAATAGCATTACCCGAGAACGATATTCGAATGACCACATGCTAATTAACTGATCCATTACAGAATTGCATGAGCAGAGAAGCGCTCGTACGATCCGTGAGTATACGTTGAATTCGAATTCGCTAACCCCCCGAGAATTGGAGAATCGGCTGACTACTAACGAGTGAGCCAAATCAGGCAATTCACCTTTTAACCTTTTTTTTTATTTGACACTACAGTAGTTGCAAAATCCCAGCAGTCCAACACATTTCAAAGTTTCAAGTCAATTACAGTTGGCGATGTTCGACCACTATCATTGAAGTTTTAAATTTGTCTGGTACGTATAAATCCTCTAGGATTTTCATGGGAAATATATTTGAATGAGCGGGGCCTCAATCGCAGCGACAGATGTTTCTCGAATTCACCGGTAATACCCGCCCGGATCTCCGGTTCTCGATTTGCAGAATGAGTCTGCACTCTTCTTCTCCATCTACTTTTGCCGTCTTCCGGTGTTGCGTCTCGATGTCTGCCGCATCCTACCACTTTCGTCGACAGCCGCTCACTGCACCTCTAGAAATATATCCGTTAAATTATGCGGGCGCTTCTCGAGGCGGCAGGCATTTACCTATTCGCATTTCTAGCATTATAAC